ATCGAAGTCAATGTTGTTCAAAAACCAAAAAAAGGTAAAGTTCGACCGGCCATGGAAGTTTATAAGGGTATCAAATATCAATGTCATTAACTATAATGTTTTATATTTAACGGTGAAAGACAACGGTTGACTATGGGAAACAGCTCATGTGCTTGCATATGATAAGCTCACGAGTGAATGATGAGGCATGGTGATGGAGATATAATTATAAGTATCTTTCTTTTTTTTTTTTAATTTTTTCTGGGTTTTAATTAATTTATAATTTGATCTTGTTGGATATGTGAACTTGGTCATTGCTAAGGTCAGGGAAGCCTCATAATGGCGTTACAATGCAGACAAAACTAGCTACAATACGAAGAGAGAGAGAGAGAGAGAGAGAGAGAGAGTTGAAGATGCTCATGGATTTGGTTGTTTGTATATATAGGATTAAACACTTTTAATGGAATATTTGGCTGAAACTATATATGCAATTTGCTATATGATGGATTTTTTCCATTTTTTTTCGAAACCTAAACCTTAAATTATTATCTTCCTACTACTCGAAAAATATATATATAGAGAGAGAGAAAGAGATAAAATACAAGGAATCTTTCCATCATATTGTTCTAATATAAACAAGGAAATGGCTGTAATTGTCAGAAGAGACATAGTCTTTGGTCTTTTTGTGTAATGTTAAGTATACATATGTAAGAATATTCAATAATTATGTTCATTATGGAATAACAGATTGAATTCTGCTATCTCAAAAAGAAACAAACAAAATAAAAAGGTTGAATTAGGCAGTGAAATATATAATTATAACCTGCCTAATTTCGTCACGTATGGCAAATTTTTGTTTTAAAGAATATAAGTATGAAATATACTACTATAACGTAGAATGCATAATTTTTTTATGCTTATATGTTACCAAAATTAACATCACCTTTAGTTGTAGTTACTGTTATGCTCTATGGAATGGAAGACTTAATATTAGGAAAAATGGGTAAGAAGCAAGAAGTGGATAACCGATATTATCTATACCAATATTAAAATATCGGATTAAGTTTAGCATTGCAAGTCAAGTGATATCAACTCAATTAAATATATTATTATATCATAATAAAATTATAATAATTGAATAATCAACTAATAAATTAGAATATAAGTAAATAATTAAACCCATATTTACCGAGACTTCAACTTAAGAGCTTAAAATAGTTTTTTTAAATAAAAAGAAAACCCTAAAAAATATAGCTAAAGTTAGCTTTTAGAGATAATTTAAATACATCATTTGTTAAAATCATGACAATTTTAACAAGTATTAGTTATGTAATATTTTGAGGTTGAAAAACACCTTTTTTAAATTAAAAAATTAAAAAAGAGATATCATATAAATATATGGATAAATAAATATATATATATATATAATATAACATAACAAAATACAAAAACCCTATAAAAATGTTTACTGGAATATATCCTCTCCTTATAACATGTAGTATACATCTTAATTATTCATTTAAAATCAAAATTAAATTGTAATACAAATTTGAAACTTAAAAAGCTCAAAAAATATATTTTTATTTTAATATATTTTCTTATAACTTTTTAAAAGTTTTTTATAATTCAAAAACACGATATTACTTATTATATTTTGAATTCAAAATATATTTATCAATTTAAAAATTATCGATACACCTTAATTATTATCTCATAAACTTATAAATAGTATGTGTTACATCCAATAAGCCTATAATCAATCTCACAATTTGCTCCAGGGCAATAATATCTTTCCTTTTTTTTTTTAAAGAAAGAGTATTATTATCTGTTCTATATATTATGCCAAAATCATGTTCAAGTGCACTTTTTATACACAAACAATGGGTTTCAATGATATTTTTGTGATTGCAAATTAAAAAGGATTATAAAATTAAAAGAAAACAAAGTTCGTACGATTTTATTTTTTTTGTTTGGTCAAAGAAAATGAAAAAAGAAAAAGGAAAAGAATCAATAATGATGAATCTGTCGGTGGACGAGTACATATGAGCATTCCATTTCGATCGCTACAAACTTCGTGCAGGGTCCCGCACACCTCCTATTGTGTGTATGAGCTTCCTCTCCTTCCCCGATTCCTTTCTGCTGATCTTGACCTGTTTTCACTTCACTGCCCTTACATTTATGCCAAAGTCAGAAGAAAGTGAAATGCATAAAACTAAAGTCAATTCTCCTCTCTCTCTCTCTCTCTCTCTCTCTCTATATATATATATATGTATATATCTCGGGTGAAAAAACAAAAGAAAAAATTATGAAAAGGTTATCGCCTTACAATGAAAAAAGAAGTAAAAATTATACTTTTTTCAACTTTGATAAAAGAGAAATCCATCAACTTTGCTTATAAATCTGTCATAAATACCTACCATTTAGCAGACACGCCAATTTTCATTGGCCTCATGGAAGACTAAGGTTGAAATCAAGCAATTTGCTGATTGTGTTATGACCTGGATTCAGGCATCCGAAACATTAAGGATTCATTATTTGTACGTGTAGCATTGGCTATGGTTTACTGCTAGATAGAAAATTGAAGAACAGGGCTGAAAAAAATGAAAGGAAGTGACAAAAATAACCATTTAATCATCATCTTCCTTGCATAATTTTGAGACATTTGGGACCCAGAAAGATGGAGTAGAGATCTGTTATCTGTACAGTGTGCCAGATGCAGATGTTGTGTAGCGCTGAGTATCTAATTATGGGACCATTCCTCCCTGGACAATTTTGCATGCACACGAATTGACTCCATCATCGCATTCTCAACCATCTGATCAACCTTATACTCTTTTCATGTCTATATCAGCCATTGATCCCAGGCTTCAGTATCCTGCATGGGACCCCTTCAAACAATGTGTCCAACCCCAAATTTCCACGAACCTCTTCACCTGGCCAAACTTGTCATTCCTGGAAAAATAAAGGAAAATTGGGGGAAATTAAGCATTATTGTTACCAGAGATAATTTTAATTTATAAAATCATTGAATATTTTGACAGATAGTACATTCTGTAAGGCAATTATTAGTCTTTAGAAATGTGTGAATTGACTATATTACACATCAACTTTTTGCGGTTATTTAAATTTTCTACAACTCGACTGTAGGAAGGACATGCAGAGAAAGGATTTTCTTTTGTTTTAAATTTGTCAATTCAATTGGAAATAAACTGGTCCTATGTATAATTGATATTAGAGTACTGTATTGCCGCCTATGATCGATACTGTCTAATCCTTTTATCAAGATTCCCCATACGGGTTCACATTTCAATGCGGGCCATGCCTTTGGACAGCTAATGATTTGGAATAATTTTGATGAATTTCTTGTTATCTTTCAAGTCATAAGCTTGTTAAATCATTTAACAATCTGCAAAGAAAAAAAAAACTCAAATTATAAGTCTGTTCTTTGATCATCTCTCAATTAGAAATTTAATTTCGTTTTTGTCGTGTCTGGCTGAAGAAAAATCCGCAAGAAAAGGTTTAGACAGCAAGGATTAGAGAGTTTAAATCTGGATGACTAATCAAATTTTAGCTAAGATGGTCCACAGCAAGAAAAAGAAATTGAATTAAATGATAAAGAATTTGGCTTATGAATTAAATATTCGGTTTCACAGAATTATTTGCTCTATCATGCATTGCTGATATAAAACTTCTAATCATTAAGATAAATATAAAATTAATCTCTAAAATCGAATCCTTTTTTTCACTTATTCTATTGATCAACTTTGTCATATTGATATTTAAATAAGTTTTCTTGCAGAAACTGACTTCGTATAGTTTAGTGCCGTTATCAAAATTGTGCATATTTTTTCTTCTTTTTCGGTGTTTGAATTTTTAATAATGCATTTGTCAAGGTTTTGAATTAGGCAAACGTTTTAGGTGAACATATTTCAAAATTAATGAAAGACTTGAAGTGCTCCAAGTCTTCTATTTTCTTTGAAGGACGGCCAGGTTTAATGAAAGGAACATGCCATAAACCAAGTTTAATGCAGCATTGAAATTTAAAAAAAAAAAAAAAAAAAAAACTTCGTTAAATTGTAGCATTTCTGATCAATTCCCCTATTATTTTTCTGCTAAATACTTGTATTTCAATCATTTGTAATGTTATTTGAATCTTGAAAAGTCCAACCTTACTGCAGGATTTAGACTCTTGAGTAATTTGATATTGACAGTTTCTTTGGTCCCAAAAGCTATTGTAGTTTGTGTACCTTCTGTTCCGCAAATCCACTATTAGACCAAGAAAAAGTTATTCTCGTCCTCTTCAGATTCATGATCGGTTGCATCAAAGTTAAAAAAAAAAAAAATCACTAATTTTTTCCCAAATGAATATGTGAAGTATGAAGTATGAACTGAGAAAGTAGGGCACTGCAATCTTGGAAAATCATATATATATGAACCTCACTCTTTCAGAACACAGCAAAATTTGTCATGTGAATAATTGGAAAAAAAGTGATACAAAAGTTTTCAACAGCTTGATTTAATGATCAAAACAATGTTAAAAAAAAAAAAATTAAGATTGAGATTCAAACCCTAACATTTCTCTCTCCTTGATGATGCCCTCCTTGAACGACAAAAAAAAAAGAAAAAAAAGAAAGGGTGATACAGAAAGATCAGATATTTGTACAAAATGGTGGGGGTTGGCCTGGCAGTAGCTAGTGCTTTGGTCCAGATGGGATTGTTCAACAAAGTCTGTTAAAAGATTTTAACTATACTTCTGATTTCTGAGTTGTAATAAATTTTGGGCTGTGGCTAATTTTCTTTTACTGATAAACCTGCAGAAGGTCAATACTAGCTAGAGAAATGAATGCCGTTGCAGTTTCTGTTACTAAAAATATGAAACAACAGATTTCAGTGGAATGTGCTGGCTGATTTGATAAAATACAAACTACGTAGTCACCTTCAACGTACGTAAATACATGAAGACAGCAGTTTTACTCTGTTTCTCAATTTTGGTCATAGCCGTGTGAAGAAAGCATTCCCATCTTTCAATTAATGAAAGGGTGAAAAGGGAAATAATGTGAATAAGTCTTAAATCTGAAAGTGGAAATTATTTGTGGAGCAAAGTAATTTATAACATTGAGTGGAATTCATCAGAAACAGGGAAGACATTCTGAATTTTCAGAACATGAACAAAATAATTTGCTCTTTCCACGTAATGATGAAACTTTTCAAAGTGATCATGATTTAGAAGAATTGCCCCAGAAAGATCATAGAGTAAAGAAGGGGGTGGATCCTGTTTCCTTGAGACACAAAAAGTTGCTCTTGTGCATAATATTTTTTTTTTTTTCAATCCTCCAGAGGGGGAGAACTTTCTGTGATTTTTCATCTTGATATTGTTGTTGGGGCTGCTTTTGAATTGGGATTTTGAGAGATGAACCAAATTGATACAGAAGTCCAAAAACCAGTATGAGAAATTCTTTAGTTTTGCCTGGTGGCAAAGAGTCACTGTTTGAAGTTTTCCTGGTTTGGCAATTCACTGACTGAAGTTAAAAGCATGGGTTATTATCAAATTTCTGTTTTTCCTCTCAATATAATATCAGAAAAAATGTCCCACCATCCCTGCAAAAGACATTAATTCTCAGACCGTTGATGAGACACATGCAACTGAGACCATTAACTCATCTCCACCCCTACCCAATATGAGGAGAAGAAATGATAAAAATTAAAGAATAAATAAAAAGGAAGTCGAGGTGGGGGAGGGGAGAGAGAGAGAGAGAGAGAGAAACTTATAACACTTATTGAATGCGACTTTTCTTTCTAGAGGGCCTCGTCTTATATTAATTCAACTTCCTTTCTCAGCTGCTACTTCATTTTCTAGCCTACCCATATCAAAACCATCGATCTCTCTCTCTCTCTCTCTTACATTATTTTTTACCGAAGCTAGCATTCAAAGATACTGTTCAGAACCACCCCTGCTCATTGCTGACAATTTCACCTAGGATTCAGCAAAGTTGCTGTTTTAGGAAAGGTCTCTTCCTCATTTTTTGGTCTGTCTCAAAATGGGGAGGCACTCTTGCTGTTACAAGCAGAAGCTAAGGAAAGGTCTTTGGTCTCCTGAAGAAGATGAGAAGCTCTTGAGGCATATTACAAAGTACGGTCATGGTTGCTGGAGCTCTGTCCCTAAACAAGCTGGTATTTTTTTTAAGCAAATTTAACTTCCTTTTGTCATGTTAGCTTCTTCTTTGAAAATCATCAGGCCTTCAGAAAAGTAACTGGCAGAGTATGTATTCATGAATTGTTACCAAAATATCACAAATTGGCAGGTCTGCAGAGGTGTGGAAAGAGCTGCAGATTAAGGTGGATTAATTACTTGAGGCCTGATTTAAAGAGAGGCACATTCTCTCAAGAAGAAGAAAAACTCATAATTGAACTTCATGCGGTTTTGGGGAATAGGTATCTCTTTTCTTTCTCATAACTTTTTCTTGTTTTTGGATTTTATACGGAGTTCTGTAAACATTCCTTGCGTTTTTTTTTGCTTCCACAGGTGGTCCCAAATCGCTGCACAATTGCCAGGAAGAACCGACAATGAAATTAAAAATCTATGGAACTCTTGCTTAAAGAAGAAGCTTAGGCAGAGAGGCATTGACCCTGTCACGCACAAACCGCTCTCAGAGGTTGAAAATGGAGAGGACAAGAGTCAACAAACAAATAACCGGGAAATGGCGTCCGGGGCATCTAGTGAATTGAACCTCAACACCAATAATCCTAAACCTGGGGCAGGTTTACATGAACAAAGACCAACTTCGGTTACTGCACAAGGTTATCAATTGGAAATGGAAGGCTCTTCCAGTTCCAAGACAATGAACAGAAGCAATAACAATAGCAACAACAATAACAATTTGATGACATCTACAGTCAGCAAAGACTTCTTTCTTGATAGATTCGCGACCACTCACCATGAAAGCACAACGACCAACAGCCAGCCTTCTGATTTGGTGGGTCATCTTCCAATTCAGCAATTGAACTATGCATCCAATGCCAGGCTCTCATCCACCTCAAACCCTACTCTCTGGTTCACCCAAACTAGCAAAGCTTTCGATACCAATTCTGAATTTTCTTCAAGTTCGATGTCTACTCTTCTCCCACCATTGACAAGTTCATTTTTCTCTGCTCCCATGGGGTTTAAGCCTTCCATCATCATTTCCTCTGATAGTCCGTCAATGGCCTCGTTTACGGTTAATGGATCCCGCTATTGGGAAACTGGTGCCTCCGCTAATAACAGTAACAGCAGCAGCAGCACTGAGCTACAAAGCAACAGCTCCTTCTTTGATAATAATAATTTCTCATGGGGATTGGCAGATTGTAGCACATCAGAGAAAGAGGCTCCAATCCATCTAATGGAAAGTCAAGCAGAAGAAATCAAATGGCCAGAATATCTCAATAACCCATTATTAATGGCGGCTGCTTTGCAAAATCAAACTCCACAATCCTTGTACAATATCGACATAAAATCAGAACCATATTTCCTGACTAATAGTTCATCAAACAGTATGTGGCCTCATAGCCAACAGCAGCAACAAGAGCCTTTACAAAATTCCGATATGTGTGCTAAGGATATCCAGAGACTTACGGCAGCGTACGGACATATTTAGCATTGCATTTATGAAAGGACCCTCTTTTCCTTAGAAGAAAAGCAAAGAAGAGGGGGGGACTTGAACAAATGCCATTTTCATATCAGGTGTGTACCACAGATTTTTCTTTTTCTTTTTTCTTTTTTCTTCATTCTCGTGTATATAGGTCTGATACAAAAATTTATCATCTCTGCTTTTGGACTATTTGTGAGCAAAACAATCTTGTTGTTAACTTTTTTCCCTCTTTCTTCTTGTGTGGGGTAGAACTGCAGAATAAGGCTTGTTGTAGTGTCTTTTACTCTTCTTCGCCTCGTTGCATATGGCCATATTTGAATGTTGCATTTCTATCTGTAAACAATTGTTGATGAAAGAAAAATATATATATTTGTTATTCATCCATGGGGTTTTCAAGCTTTCTTTCGTTAACATTTAAACCACTTTTCGTACGACTTGCTACAGATATTATGGAGCAGATATGAAGTTTTCTGCAACTGCAATCTATCCAAATCTTTCCTTTAGACTGCCATTTCCTTCTATAGATAATAACTGAAAAATACATGAAACTTTCAGCGCTTTTTTCCAGTTCCAACATTCAAAATTGGTTGTCTATCATTGTCCGGAGGACACAAAGAAATCGTAATCGCTTTTATAACAGCTTTATCACTTTTTTTTGTTCCTTCGCTTTTAATTTTAGATTATTTTGGAGTAAATGAATCCATTAGTTGGGGGCTGCCTTTTGGCTTAAACAATCTTAATGCCCTTAAATTACATTTTCAATTGCTTGACTTTCAAGACTCAAAAGAGGTTATTGAACCAAACCCCCCCCCCCTCTTCAACCCCCACCACTCCCCTCATTTTCTTTGCCCCACGCACGCTTACATATACACCTAAAAACCAATAAGAGCATGAGCCTAAATTTTTAAAATAAAAATAATAATGAAAGGAAATAAGGGTTATGCCACTTCATGCTCAGGTAATAAAAATGAAAAAAAAAAAACACAAAACAAATTGAGAGTTATTCACTTTCTGGTCCGTACATGGGAAAGTGACAGTCAATCTAATAAGGGCCACGTAACTGGTGCTGTTTTGGAGCTCCTTCAAGACACTAACGTTATCTTAAGAAACACTTTATAAAAGCAAGAAACTTCCAATACAAGGAAGGGAGAGAAGTCAATCGTTCAGTAAATGCAAAAAAAAAAAAACAACGCTGACATGGCAAATAGATCTACACGGTCACGCGGCAACATCTTGCATCGGATAAATTCGACTTTTTATTTGGTTCATTACTATTGTAAATGTTGGAAGATTTTATCTTGACTGTAGAGAGCATTTTGCCCTTTGTTAGCTGCTTGCCAGAGAACAGGCCATTTATGGTCCGAATTAGAGGTTTCTTTAATTCCTATGCTCTGGAACATAAGTCTAAATGGTTCGAAATACAATATGCTTCGGACAAGGAGAGATCAAAGAAAGTTGGGAATATATCAATGTTATTTTGAGATAATGAGCTTACACTTGCAAACTCAATCTTGTACTGTCGTTAAACAAAATTCAACGCTACATGAGAACTGGAAGTATATGAAAGCAAAGCTGTCTTGGAGGAGGACCCACTGCAATAATTATATAGTTGGATTAGTCATAGGGGCCATCTTTTCATTCTTCACAGGCGCAACATAAACCCAAGCCTGCCGCCAATGGTATCTGTTGTCAGGAAACAAGTTTTTCAGCCCTGTTTTTAAAGCAATTAATTACAATGCCGACTAATAGAAAGAAACCCTATTTTTACCTATACTTCACTGTATGCTTTTGTTGACTCTTGAAAACTATGAACTTGTTTCCATGCATTCAAGTTAAAGAATTGCAATCACCGCTTTGCTTGACCATATTCACCAAACTACGAAGTAATCATGCATACAAAGGGTAAAAGTTTTTCAAAATTATGTTATTGCCAGTTGGTTGGGAAGGGAAAAATCAAATCCTCATGTTGAATTTAGAATAGGGTTTGATATCTTTGTCAACGATAGAATAAAGCACTAATCCTCACTCTCAAAGTTAGGACGGTACTAATTGATTGTAATTAATCAAACTGTGTACCTTAAACCCCAAGCAATGAAAGCAACAAATCCATCTTCAAATATAAACCAAACATAAAATCTCTATTACTTCCTTCAGCAGAAATAAATTAGGGATTCTTACTAGTAATAACATTATTAATTTTTATCAATAATTAGTGAATTTTAAAGTTCAGTTATTTCTTTGGCTTTGCAAAAATCTTCTCTGTTGTAGACGAACTGTCAGGTTTCGTTGTCAAGCCAAACCCAACTTTACTGAAACCGAACAATAGTAGCATTATACTTCTAGTTTCTAGGAACGATATATGAAATGCTGCAATGATTTAGGACTCATCAGGGTCTGGAAATATGGCGTGACCTATGCTTGCTTGTAAGCATGCATGATTAACTTGCATGTGCTATATTTTTACTTGAATTCATGATCAGTAAACATATTTTTCATTTTCTTGATCCGCTAGCTTTGGCTTTTTGTAGCAAACTTGAAACATTTTTGAGAAAGGAAACAACACCAAACTATGACTATACCCACTTTGAAAATTTGCGAGATGAAAGATGAAAAATGATAGCAGATGAGAAACCGGCTCTGTTTGTAACATTCCTGACCAATAACGTGGACCCATATCTGCAAATAGTTTGGGTTTCGTTCAACGCTATCAACCTTCAGGAGATGGAAGAGTCATAAGTTTGAGATGCTTAGTTACTTTGATAGTAGAGTAGGGGGAAAGTGTGAGAAATTGAGGTGAAAATTCAATAAAACTGTCATATTTACTTGGTTTAACTCATCATATAGCACTTTTTTTTTCCTAATATTAGAATCTTCTTCAACCATTTGATACAAAGGTAATTAGTCCACAATAATTACTCAGTTCGTAAAATGATACTGGGAATGAAGGTTTTGTATTAACTATTTAAACTAAACTTGGTTGGAAAAACTCTGAAGAAATTTATGAAACAAAGCCAATGCAAAAGGATGGCAAGTTGGCAACATTTTGTTACAGGGAGGCTGCAGCCTGCAGCATTTAGTTGATTAAGCTTTAGACTAGGTGCCCCTAATTGGGCCAGCTGCATCTAAATATTAGCCTTGCCCAAAGCTCAAGTCAGAGCTTATCCTCCAATCCAATCGGCTCAGCTTTCTTAACAGATGGGCCAATTATTTGAAGGTCTAGGTCCAGGCTACCAAGCACTAGGATCCATCTGATAGAGCATTCAAATGAATCAAATCAGGAGAAAGACGCTCCAATTATATTGTCAACAGTAATTTGCAATAAACAAAGCTTTTAGGATATATAATATAAACAGATTTATCTTTTCCCTTACAAGTGTAACACTAATAAATCAGTTGATGAGATATTCATAGAAATTTCTATATTACAATAAGAAAAAATTTTCATGTTGATCTGTTGTCAAAACCATAACAGTTGTTTGAATTTTGGAACTCACTCTTCCCTTTCCCCACCTCTTTTGTCTTAATAGCCGTCTTTCTTTGAAAGAATCCTTTTTTTAATACGCATGAAGAGTATGCTAACATATGAATCCAACTCCATTATTCGAGGAAATTAAACAATTTAACTTGTAGAAACAAAAACCATTGGACCAATTGGCCTCATTTTCATTTTAAAGATTATTAAAATTAAACTGCTGAAGACTCCTTCAACGACAGAACCACCTGATATGAAATATTTTTCCATTTACATGATGGGGTTCGACGACTAGGCACTTCCCATTCAACCCTTTTACCAGACAAAAGATTGCTGATTTAGTGATGTTCTCCTTCTCTTTTTTCTTCTTCCCCCTTTTGGCTAGAAACATAGAAGTAGAACTCTGTCTGCCTAGTTCCATCAGTCGTCAATTGAATTGAATTTTCTTTTCCAAGGGCCCTTTAACACGTGATACTGTCCTTGACTTTCTTCAACCTCTCCGTATTTTAAACCCCTTTGTTTAGCATTGCTTCTCACAAACCACACGAAGCAATTGATTTCGTTGGCCAAATTTAAAAATGAATACATAAACAGTGAATAATTTAGAATTTACATCAAGACTTGGTCTTTCACTGGGAATTATACTTCCCATCAAGGAGACACGGGGCACATTTGAAATAATTAGAGAACAAAGCTGTTGTTTTCATCATCACTCTTATAAAAAATTAGAACTTGCGTCAAACCACTGTAAAAATTGTTGAATCAGGACACATTCCAAATTCAAGATTCCACCACCCCCTTGCCCTTCTGAAACTTCACCTTTGAATTTCTCTTTCTGCCCCATTGGGCCCAAGATAATTAATCTAGAATTGAGCATACACAATATCACATGGTTTCTTGGCGAAGAAAATCTGGGCAAGTTTTTGCACAAAAAAAAAAACATTAAATATTAATAGGACCCTCCACGAGATATTCGTCCATGGCCTCACTCCAGGGCCTTGGAGCCCACTGCCTTCATTGTCGGCAATTAATGGTAATATAATATGGTTTAGAATAGCAGCAGTGGCTATAATTATAAGCTTATTCTATATATTTTGTAAAGTGAGGAAATCCAATTTGTTTGCAATTTCTTGTGCTTTTCAGGTTTATGTGTTGAACATTTGGTTGGTTAAGCAATTTTTTTTTTTTTTGGTTATCCAAGAAAGGTTGGAGTGGTGAGTAGGTTTATGCATTAAGTAACTAGCATAGGTTTGGTTAGATAATAATTCATGCTCGATCGATCTTTGGCTATCAACCCAGATGATAAATTCAAGTACTACGTGATTAAAAACAGCAAATCCTACAGTTGAGTTAGCCCCATGATTAGCAACGGCAGTGGAAACATCTCTAGGTGTGAAATAGGGTTAGCAATAAATAGTTAATAAATAAATATTCATCATTAGTCGATTAATATGTATTTAATTTGAATAGTTATTAACGAATAATTAATGGATTTAAATAAAAAATTTATTATTTTTAATGCATTTGTAGATACGAATAATATTTTTTAAATTTTTAATATTTAAATTTATTTAAATTTTAATAAATAATAAAAAATATCTAAATTTGTTATTCATTTATTTATTTAAAATATATAAAATTTTATATTTCTAGAAAGTTTTGGATCTTAAAAAATCATTTTTATTTATTATTATCTAAGAATGAAATTAAATTTTTATTTATTTTATATTTTGACTATAAATTTAAATAAATAAATATTTTAATTAATTTAAAATTTAAATAGATAATACTTATTTAAATAAATTTGAATTTAATTAACAATATTAAATTTAAACAAATATTTAAATAAATTCAAATATTATAAATATTAAACAAATTTAAATATAAATATTTAAAAATTAATAAATATTCACTTTGTTAATGAAAGTCTTTAAAGTCCGCGAATCTTCGGAGAATCGCCATGCAATTGACAACAACGGAAGATAAAAATATATCATCGTCATCATCACATCATAGCTAAATCATCCACTTCAAGCTCAATTTCTTGAATTCCAAGGTCTAATGTTTCAACGTCCTTTAATCGAATCTATTTTATCAGTCCTTCCGTTGAACAGTATCGAATAATCATGATAGATTCAAGATTTCGATAATACTTTTTAAAATTATCATTTTAAATAAATTTTTTTCTAACACATTGAAAATTGACATATTTAATGAAAACAATAATAAATTAATTTTGTTAGAGTAGCACATAAGATAAAGACAGATTAGCCTCGTCTTTTTTTCTTTTTTTTTTTTACTGCTGTTTCCAACGTTAATTCCCTTCCAAAAGAAAAAAAGGAATAAAAACATGGAAGAAAATGCCTACATATCCGAACATTATATCAAGTCATTTCATATTTGAAATAGACAAAATTTTCTCTCATATTTTGGCCCGTCTTTAATTAGAGAGTGAACATAATTCTTAATTTGCTTTAATTGATTAGATAATTTAAAATACAATATATTAGTACACCATAAATATAATCCAAAAATAAAATATAAAATTAATATATTTTTTATTTTTAACAATAATTATATACAAATTAAACAAAATAAATAAATAAATTTTATGTTTTTATTTTTTATGTATATATAATTTGTATATAATTACACAAAACAAATTGTATACAAATTTTATTGTTTTGTATACAAATTGTATATACAAATTTTATGTATATATAATTATAATATATAATTGCATATTATTGTTGCAATAATCTACATTTCTTCGTATTATATATATGTTTATACTGTTTTAGATTAAAGGAGAACAATTTTATGTATAAAAAAAAGAAAATTTTTTTTGTTTAAATTATGTCTAAAGTTTTTATATTTTATCAAAATTTGAAAATTTGTTTTTATATTGTAATTCATATAAATTTAATTTTTATATTTTTTGATTTGATAATTTCGATTCAATTATTAATTATATCAAAACTTTTCATAAAAAAAAATTGACATGGCCATTAGCTTGATAACATGGGCATTAATTTTACTAACGTAATAATTTAAATAAATAAAATTAATTATCAAATTATATAAATAATTTATATACTTACATGAATTTTAAATTTAATCATTATATTATAATTCATAAAAATCTCGTCTTTATATAAATAAAATTTGATAATGTTAATCTAATTATTAATAAAAATAATATTTTTAATTTTTTGAAAAAAATAAAATTTCTTTTAAAAAATATATAAATTTTTTAAAAATTTGTTCATATTTTTAAAATATTAAATTTAATATTTAAAAATATTTTTATTTTTAAATAATTAAAATAATAAAAAATTTAAATTTATATAAATTATAATAAATAAATTAAATTGTAAATTTTTGATAAAGTACAAGAGTCTCTGACATAATTTAACCTACATTTTTCATGCAATCTTTTTCAATTTTAAAATGATTCCCCCACTTTCAAACCTCGTACCTCATGAAGAAAAAACTTCATGGAATCCACTTTTATGTGGTGGAGGAATGGCTTAGCCCAGTAATAGTCAACACAATTTTTTTAATGGAAAGAATGTAAATAGTTTGAAAAAGAGTAAAAAATATATATATTCAATTAAAATTCAATAATATGCTTTTTTTTTTTTTTGGTTTTTATCAAGTGAACCCTCAAATATTATTGAATTTTAATTGAAAATTTTTTTTTACTCTTTTTCAAACTGACGGAGCCCAACATACTGCAAATACGACAAAATGGGGTCCACTCCTCCAAATCTTGATCCTATCCACCCAAAATCTAAGGAAATGCTCATCACCTCACGTCTCTCGATCGTCGGATCACCCACGTCAGCCATTTTTATTCTATGGCCGAAATAAAAAATATCTTTTTCTAATTACTACTATTTAACACGTGTAAGCTCACAGTCGCTATCATCACCACATCAACTGTCGTTTTACCATTGCCATCAAGAAAGCTGGCCTGAAAATTTGAAAAAAAATAATTAAACGAAAAGAAAATAAGAAAATTGACTAGTCAAAGAATCGACAGTCGGTGAGCGGCGGTGTTAACCAAACCCATTAATCTCCGTTCCACGGAATTATATAAAAATAGTATTTATTAATATATAAAAAATTTTGAAGATAAAAAGGTTGGCTAAAAGAAATAATTAAACATTAAATTAAATTAAAAAAGAAAGAGGAAAAGCAATAGCTCGCGCTGTTGCAGTAAGTGATGTGTTGGGTATATGAAAGGAGACCACGTGGCAAGATTGGGCCCGATCAGGCCGGATCATGGTGGACCCCAAATTGGGCCCTAAGGTTTTGTTGGAAAAATTCACCATTCGAGGGGCTGGATTTGTCCTTTTGAAGCTAATAAAGGATGAAAAACGCGGACAGCTGGCTCTTTAAACGCGGTTATATACATCAGCTTCATTCCTCTTCAAATCAAACAGTCTCGTGGGCCTGATGCTGCCAAACACTCCATAACCAGCTGCCCCACAATTAAGCTTATCCCATTCACCCAAATTACCCCTTGTTTTGTTCCTTGCTATTAAGGCCTTGTTAGCCAATCTGTGGATTTTTGGAGGCCAATTTTGGAATTTGAGTTACAGTAAACCATTGATCCACAAAGTTTTACAATGTGGATAACGCTGGGATTACCCAATTCTTTGAAGCCCCTTTATTGTTTTTACTATATTATATATTACATATACATAAAAAAGAAGCAGAAAATTTGACATTAAAATGTTTGCGTCAGCTTACTACCAAACTATATCACAGTTAAACTTTAATATAAGATTATTATTTTTTTAAAATAACCATTAGAGAATCACTTACGCGGAAAACACACGGTAAATCAAGTATCAACATCCATTCAAGATTAAATTAATTAATTAACCAAGTAAAAGAATGTAATTTAAGATAAAAAAATTTTAACTTTACTTGCTTAATTATGCCTCCAAAATATTATAGTAAATTAAGATAGTTTGAGCAGCTTATGACATTCCCACATTGGATATGATTTAGAAATTAAGTCATTCTTGCAAAGCTAAAATGTACCCTTTAATGCGTTACTTTTTTTTTTTTAATAATACAATCAGGTCAAATTTTATTTGGATTTAATGTTTTTGAGATATCTTAAAAACACATCCTCTTACATTAATATTATATATTTAAGATTTTATTTTTGAAATATTTTTGTAATGATCAAACTCAAATTAATAAAAATAACAAATTTGTTTCTTATTAATTAAACTAACCCTTTGTAGGTGTGTGTTAGTATTTGTTGAACAACCTAGGAACGAAACAAACCATAAATAATTTTGTTTGAAACAAGAAAAAGAAGCAAACTTGACCAATTAAGGAATGCATGTGACTTGTTATTTACTAGGCGAGAGGGACCATATATATATATATGTATATAGTACTAGTACTAACAAGCAACTAAGTTATCAATGGAGACAATGCTCACACTTTGTTGTACAGTTTCGATATTTCATTTTCATGTGTTTCATTTATCCCAGAATCACTGAGCTGCATCATAAATTTTGCATGTTGGCAGTGAAATTTCGGAGTAAATTTGCAAAGTAAAAAAAAAAAAAAAAAAGGGAAAACATAGTGGAATTCGAAACTGGCCTGGGTTTTGGGTAAACGTGCGGGCAAGTCTCAATCTTTGTTTCCGTGTTGACACCTAGTGGCTAGTGAGTAGTGAGTAGTGAGCCGTGACCCGGCAACGGATCGAGAGCGTTGTTAGCAGCAAAGGGAATTGTCTGAAGCTACGTGTCATAAACAGAGTGGTGTGGGGCACTCCCTCCTGAGCCGATTCTCTACGTCATTTGTCTCGATGTTGCCATGTGGGTATCTGAATCATTTCTAAATTCTAATTATTCAAAAAGAATACTCAGATAATCTGAAACTTCTCACTGACGTGATATCATATCAAATTACAATCTCACCCTTTTCATTTTCTCAACTACCGCAAGGTAACTGAAAGGAAAGTGATCGTTCTAGTCAAGTGATTGAGGACTGAAATGGGCATATCTGGAATTAAAGGCATGAAAATTTTGCTATAAATTTGATCGTTGGCGGTAAGGTTTGGGTTTACCCTTTTACCTTATCATGGAATGAGATACGAATGAATGATTCACAAAAGCCCAAACGCCACAGCTTGTTAATAATTGCAGCCGCTCTTTCTGTATTCTCTCCCTCTCTCTCTCTCTAATCAATTATCACTTTGATAAACCGAAAAACACTTTACCTTCTCTCTTTTGGTTTCTTTCTCTTTTTTAAGTTGCAAAATCAAAGGAAGAAGGAAAGGAAACAGAAGAAAAGATGGCATCAGATGAAAGTATGACGGTAGTTTCTTCCATGCAAGATGATGAGTATGATGATATTGATGTTGGGTTTGATCATGATCATCAGGTTCATCCACATAATTTGTCCAGGCTTTCCATGTGTACTAGTTCCATGTACACGAACGAAGATGATGATGATGATCATATGGGGATTTACATGTCGGGATTGTCAATTGAAAGCTTTGATGCAGATGCTGATGAAGAGTTCTCTGACAAAGAATTGCTTGAACTGTCATCAGACTCTGACAAAGAACCTGCTTGTTACTCTCTTCCCACCACGCCACCTCGTCGGAGGAATAGAACCGGGGGGTTGTCTCAGCAGTTGATGGGAGTGGTCAAAGATTATGCTAGTGAAAATGAAGCTCAAAAGATTAGATTTGGAAGGCCAAAAAGGAGCAAAAATTTGAGGCAGAGGAGGATAATAAGGGAAAGATGGGCAGATAAGGAGAGTAAAGGTGGCAGCAAAAAGAAAGATGGGGATTTAATGGCGGGTTATAGCAACTATAGTGGAAGTTTTAGTGGGGAGAGTGAAGGGGGTAGTGCGGGTGTGGTGGTTATTACAAGGCCAAAGGGAGGGAGGAGGTCGTTGTGTATGGACTTGGAGGAAGTGAAGGCGTGTAGGGATCTGGGGTTCGAGTTGGAACATGAGCGTATGTTGGAGATGCCCGGTCGTGTTTCCCTGTCAGGTTCCACTCGTGATAGTAGCGGTGGCAATTCTCCCATCGCCAACTGGCGTATCTCTAGCCCTGGTTGGTCAAAATATTGCCAGCCTCTTTGAATTACCTTTAATGTCGACCTTTTGTTTTGGCCTATTGAGGAACCAGAAAATGTTGATATGTGATTGTTTAATTAAATATAAAGGCTTAGCAGTTTCAGTTTATCTGATGGGATGTTTACTCTGTCATTTAGGTGATGACCCGAAAGATGTCAAGGCTCGGCTGAAGGTGTGGGCACAAGCAGTGGCACTTGTATCAACATCCAAGCATTGCAGCTGACAAGCTTGCAACTCTCAACTATCATCGACTAATATTTTTGGTTCCTAGTTTTATTTTTCTTTTTTCTCCATTGAAATCCTTTTGGTGGGATGGATTTGGTACTTTTCTTCTTCATCTTGCTGCCAAGAAAGAAAGGTTTTTCTTGTGGTTTATTCGACCTCTTATCGTTTGGGTTTGGCATTAGAGAGATTGAGGCACCTTTTTTTATTACCTGTGTACACAGCTTTCCGCTTGTAAATATAACACGGTGGAATATGGAGCCGATGGTAGGCTTAATTTACGCTTTGTCAAGAAGTATTATTTCCCGTTCATGTATTCTTTGCAGATCAGTTTTCTGTTGTTAGTCATCAGTCTGGATTTGGGTAGTTTCAGGTACAGCATTCGTGTTGAAATTTGTTTCACGTTGTTTTCATAAAAAATTGCATTTGAAATTTTGTTTTGCAGAAAGAATTTGTTTTATTTGCCCCTGTTCTAATGAAACAAATCACAATGCCCACACTCAAAAGCCTGAAACATAGACGGGGGCGACCTGGTATTGGTTCCATTGTGGGAGCACCCGAGCGGAATTCACGAATTGCCAAAATGATGATTCGCTTAATTGTGCTCATCATAAGGAGAAAGAAAAATAATCAGGTTCTCAATAATTAAGAAAGCCCCTCAAGTACAAAACTATAAGTGCAGTCATCCTTGAGGAAAACTGGACGGGACACAAATATTGCTGAAACTTACTATTTAAAATCAATACTCACTTTCCAAATTTCAACAAATTTCAACTTTTCTATCAGAGATATTATGTCACAACAGAGTTAAACTCACAGGAAAGAGCTTGAAGCCCTGAAATCTAGCAGTTCAAATATCAGAATATAGCAGCCTGATACCTCCATTGGCAATATATCAGCTAAGAAAATCACGAATGCGCTCTCTTTTCAATGGAATTCACTCCAGAAGAAAATGCGATGAGATGACACCAATGACAGCCCCATATCAAGCCTCAAACCCGGATTAGGCAATCTCATTCAATAGTATGATATTCAGGTAAGCTGTTTAAACATCCTGCCTACTAATTTTCACACATCTCAAATCTTACAAACTCAAAATAAAGCTAAAAGCACTAGGAAAGACAATCTGGAATCAACTTGAATGCAAAATTGCAAGATACTTCAAACTACAGCAAAGGAAGGTATCAATCCCTATTCAGTGGTATATACCAAGAAACAACCTTCTCAGTATCATTTTCTTGCAATGATACATACATGATTGAGTACGGATTAACCATTACAGAGCAACAACAATGGCAACCACATATTAGAAAAGAAACGCACTGGCTACTAAAGAAGCGCTTTGAATGAATGATTTGAAATGCTAGCAAGGAAAAGATCCACCATATCTGCTAGGATGTGGACTTTAAAGTTATAATTATTAGTCATTGGCCAAACTGAAACCACTGAAACCCCATGGTGCATTTGGAACATGTTAAAGAGAACAAGAAGGCACTAAGCAGATTTAGGAGAGTCAATGTCAACCTAGTGGACTGAGAGAACATTGTGGCTGATATAACAGAGGAAGATATTAATGTCAGTCTTACAATCGACGTGGAGAGAGGAAATCCAGAAAGGGTACATTAGGGGTGGGAGGATATATATATATTACAATGTACTTACCCACATGGGAGTGGGAGGATTTGAACCAGGAACTCCTAGGGCATCACTCTAATTTTTTTTACCATTATAACGAGGCCTCATTGGTAACTACATCCTAGATCTATTTATATGGAAATATAAAAACATATATGCTTAAAGATATAGAAGTTACAAAGATTAACAAGGTTCCTTTTGTAACATTTTCACTCATCTGCATAAAGAAATTCAACTGGAATAACTAACATCAATGTGAAAATAAACATTATATTCTCTATCGCTTCCACCTTAATTTACTCAGAAATGTTTTTACCATAACAAATATGATTCTTACAAAAACATGCCACAATAACAACAAAAAAATTGCAAGGATTAGCTTTGATGTCCCACTTATCGTACACTTTTTTCTCAGGAATTCTGGGTATGCTTTGAGGTCCTAGGGATAAATTAGAAAGTGTGAAACAAAAGTAAAGCGAAGAAAGTGGCGGTTGGGAATATTAGTACGCACAGTGATGGTTTAGCTTTCTTAAATCTCAAATATAAAGATATCAAATGTATTATATCTTTCTGCTCACTTGAGTGCTAAGATATCAAAGGTCTATGGAGACATGTATTGCTTATAAATGATATTTTTGAAAAAAAAAAATGATATCGCTAATCATTGTGATGTGCATACACAAGAAATCCCAAAGCTTATCACTTTATTATTACAACATATGAATGTTAAAGTTTCCACAATTCGCAATTGGGGAAAAGAATAAAATGGAAGCTATAGAGGCCTCTACACAGAGTCAATGAGAAGTTCTTACTCACTTGAAGACAAGATTGTGACAAGTATTGTCACATGGGTATGGACAGTCAATAGCTTTAACAGCTGTTCGGTCAAAGAACCAATCTCCAACAGACACTCCAATTGCCTGCATTGATAACAGAATCAAACTAATGCAAAAGGTATTCTCATAAGATCAATTTGCATCTTTAATATTCAAGCCTTAGCAACCATTTTTAACATAAGCTTGAAATTAAGCAATCTTATGGAGTTTTACGTGAATTCCTCTGCAAATCATAAAGCGCTACATGAGGTATAGGTCTCTAGGAAATTCAGAAGATGGACATTGTTTCCACATTTATTTGCAGCTGATGGCATGCTGCATGAACTTCAATATAGATGGGACGTACCTTATTTCCAATACGAGGAGAGTCATTCTCATACCATGTATCCTGTCTCTCTGACTGGCAGTGAGCAAAACAAGAATTTATGAATAAACCATTTTGATTGGACTTTGAGAAAACATTTACAGCTTTGAGCATTTGATTCCTAAAGTCTGCTTCAACATGAGAAAGAAGAAAAGAGAGGTTACAGGCAATTACTCTATATTTGCCACTTGTCAGCACAAAAATCGAGTCAAAACATAACAGAAAACAAAATAAAAAATCACCTTGCAGAAACTGCAGCTGCGATGAGTTACAATGAGAACGATCCATTTTGCACTCATGCCACAAACCGTGAGGATCAGCAGATGATGGAATTAAACTCTCTTGGACCTGAAAACAGAAATTGGAGATTTAATCCAAGTTATTTGGCATTCAAGAGGTCATCCAGGTACTGAGACAATCTTTTCAAGTTTATATATAGCATTGTTTAGGTTCAAAAACTTGCTGTCACAGATAAGCCAATGCACATGACCCAACAATGACCTATCCAAACAATCCCTTTCTTTCTGTTGACAACTGTCTTGAGGAGGTCTTAAAGTTTAGCATTATGAATTCTTGTCTCTAATATGTTTCTGGGTGGAAATATGGATTCTCATTTGAGAAGAAAAAAAAAAAGAAATGAAAAGGAAGATGAAGAAGAGAAAAGAAGAAAAAGAAAGAAGTAGCAAAAAGAAGAAGATTACCTGCCATGCATCATAGGCTGCATTGAGAAGAAACATAGGGGTCTTGATATTTGCAACCAAGTTTTGAGGGAAGAAGCACTGCAAATGAAATAAAGAGTTAGGGGCTTTCTATGAGTTATATCTACTCTCTTAACGTAATCTACTACATGAATACCAATCAAGAAAGTAGAGATGTTTACCGAAGTTGGATCCATTTGGCTGGTACAAGTATTTGGCAGATTCTTTTGCACACCCTAAAATTTCATAGAAATTTTATTTTAGCGAGCAGAAAGCAATGAGAAAAGATTTCATGACAATGACGGTTGATTACTCATAACAGCACTAGGTTTTCTTTCTTGAGGACAAAATATTTATCGTGAAACGTTTAGTGCCACAAAAATATTAATATATAGCTCAAGAGCCTCAGATCAAGAGCCCTGAAATCAACTAAAAATGAAGCTTTCATGCCATGCCCTTCTAAGGTTACACGAAACCTTACATTCTACTTATTAATTGAGTTTTGACCAACAAAAAAAACCTAAAAGAGGCGCAACAGTAGTACCTGTAAGGTTACCACACCCCCATACACATCCCTTAAGGTATAGCCACCAGCCACATTTCTTCTGCATAATTAATGAAAAGCATGAATTAAGACTACATTTTAGTAATTGAAGAGAACCTACTACAACCAAAAAGGAGGCAATGGAGTAAAGTTCATTACGCATCAAGGAACAGGCCCGCATCACTTAGACATTTCACTTTGGTAGTTTTTGGAAACAAATCCTTAAACTCATCACAGTGAAGAATGGAAGCTAGACCCCCAGCAGAGCATCCAGAAAGAAGCGCCTAAAACACAATCAAATTTAAAACATATTAGATATCTAAAACCAAATTGAAAACTGAAAAGAAGAAGCTAGATGCAAAACCTGCTGAGCATTCTGCATTCCCTTGGACATTAATTCTTCCATAGCAGCTGACCAGATCCTTTGTCCTCTAAAATAAAGCTGGTTAGCCTGAAAGTAGAATCACCGAACACCGTGAACATTTCACCAGAGGATGACAGTAAAAAGTTCTATAGAATATGTCCTAGAGAAGAAATACAATCTGCTCTAAAACAGAGTCTGGTCTTAAGAACAAAACATGTTATTTTCACCCCCAAAAAACAATCATGACTTGTCCATTTAGAGTTGGGTTACAACAAGCACATCAAGTAACATTCCTAACAGTTGTGGATCATTGAAGAGAGTTAAGGAAAAAAAAGAAAATAAAATTCACTATAAAGCTAAAAGAATCTGAAATAAGCATTAAGTAAATCAAACTTGACAACTAATTTTCACTGAGTTGGCTATTCGTGTCATGAGTACAGTTCAGGGAAATGCAGCAAAGGGTTAATAGTACTCTTGCTAACCTCATTCTGGCCCTCCCCAGCAAAAGATGCCCCATCGCAGTAACGTAGCTTGACTCTGTTCCAGTTGTAGAAATCTGCAGGACGCAAGAGGCCCCATTCAAAATTTTTACGAACAAATGCTGCATAAATACTGGTCCAAAAAGTAAAAATGGTACTAAAAATTCTACAAACCAGGATTTTCTTCAGCTTTATTGCTCAAAATTCCAGTGAAATTTATTTGCTTCTCCATAAATTTTGATGAACCACGTCGAGTAGTTTTGCGGAAGACACAAGTTCGAATGCTATTACACCATCCACCTCCCTAAAAATAAAAATCAACTCCAATCAAGTGTGACTAAAATTAGCTACAAAGAAATTATCAAACGAACAGGAGTAGTTAATGTAATGAAACCGCTAAAAGGTTCTATCTTGATATAGGAAACGTGAAATGACTTTAGAACCAAAGACAAAAAGGATTAAAATCAGATCTTTATTAGAATCATACAGTGCTAAAAAGTTATTGAATGCAGTGTTAAGGTCTGTTAACCAGACCTCCAGTTGGATGAGCCAGCTGTTTGCACCTGACCCGAACCCACGGTCCAGATGATAACCAGGAGGCGTCCCATCCAAACAAACTGTGACGCAAAAACAAAAGAAAATTTAATATCTTAATACGAATCAAGAAACAGACTTTCAGGGCAGTCCTGAAATGCAAGAATTAAATGATCTGATACGTTTCTGAATTACCAGCTCCTTTAGAAGCAGCTCTTTGAATGAGAGTGAGGGGAACCATGAGCGGGTGGTTGGCACCAGGGGATACTGCATTTTTCTCCAAGTACGAAAGCAAACTCTCTTTAGCCTTCAGTTCTTCCAACCCATCTTCAGATCGGCTCAAACCAATCCCAACTACACTCCACAAACTCAAAACCCATATCAAAACCCGCTTCATTATTAAAATTTTTTTCTGTCTTTTCACTCCTGTTACAGAGAACAGCTAACTCTACCTACTAAAGAACGACAATGTCTTTTCTGTCTGTCTCAAAGGCCTAACAAGAGAATGCTACAAACTTTGAAAAATGACCATGAAAATGAAGGGTGGTAATCATTATTATTATGGCAAGAAATGTAGGCTATGATTTTGACATCCAAATTTGGGTTACAGAAATAAAGGCACCTTCTATAGTTGAGCCAAATTCACTGCTTATTGATGGTCCTTTCTGGAATATAATTGGTCAGCCAGATGAGACCGTTGTGTTTGTTTTTTCTTTTTCTTTTTTCTTTTTGCCGTGAAACTCCAAAAAGCCAAAGCCCAGGTTCCTCTCAAAACTTTGGTGCCTTTCTTTTTCAAGTCCTCCCAGTCGCCCCACCAAACACAATGCTCTCTAGATACAGCTGTTTTCTTGAATGATCCTAATTAAAGTAGCCACCTTTTTTCTCCTTTTAAAACTTCTTCCTCTTCCCAACTTTAATTTTCTTTCCTTTTATAAAAGAGTTATGTAGCAAACAATTAGTAGTAAAAAAAACAAGAGGGTTGGTTTGAAACGGGTTTAGCATTTGGGGCCGTATATGCATGCGGGTACCGATATATTCCTCGTGTTGTGTACCGACATATTCCACCCTAAATCCGCCCTCCAGTAATTGCGCTCTATTTTTATTTGAATATTTCCAACATTATATTATTCATTAGTTTTGTTTCTTTTTAGGTAAATGAGAAGAAAAATGAAAATTTTACAAGAAAAGAACACGGTCATATCTATTTTTTACAAAAATTTAAGTAAAATTACCCATATCAGAATAACATGCTCCTTCTACCTTTTTTTTAAAAATTTTTTTAGATGTTTCAAAATTATTTTTTTAATATTTAAAATTTATTTTATTTTTTTAATATTAAAAATCATAAATTTTTAATTTTATAAAAAAATTAAAATTTAATATTAAATATATTAAAATGAAAGATTCAAACAAAGATTTTCACCGTGGAAGGGACCGCTGACAACTAATACAAAACCTAACATATCTAACTCTTTTTTTTTTTTTTATGTTAGTTAAAGATGTCAATTAAAAAACGACATCGTAATACTAGTGATAGTAGCGGATCGAAGTGAATTTTTATTCGTTCAAATTCGATTCGATTTTAAATATATAAAATTCAAATCCGACGTTAATTTCGATAAATTTTTTATTATTTTTATACACAAATTCAATCTGACTTGATATTGTGTAAAATTGTATTTAATTTGATCCGATCCGAAATTAATAAAATATTATTTTAAATATAAATATAAAATTAAATATATATAAAAAATATATAAATAAGTATAAAATTAATTAATTAATTAAAATATTTTTTTATATATATCGGGTATGATAAGATCGGATTTACCTAAAATTCGACCTCGAATTTTTTTTATGCCACCCTACCCGATACCTAATTTAAAAAAAAAAAATCAATCCTACAAAATCGAGTAAGATCACATCAAAACCCGTCGATTTCGAATTTTTTTACTTTTTCTACTTAATACTCTCATGTTTCACCGTAAACTTATCTAGTTTTTTTTTTTTTAACGGTAAAGTACAAGAGTATATTTCTATTCTTTTAAGTATTTAATCAATTAGATAATATTTATATCATTTTTAAGATTATTATAATAATATAATTATCGATATTTTTTATTATTAAAATAATTTTATTATTTATAATTTAAAATTATTTTTTAAATAAATTTTTATTCACTATCCAAAAAAATAAATAAAATTACTATCAAATAACAATAGCAGCACAACATCATCAGTCGTTACATTACAAACATCTCCTTACTTAGCTCCCATTTCACACTACATAAAATCACCAAGTATTTACTGTTTACAAAGCACGATAATTTAATTACCTTAACTTTTAAAGTGATCGTCCCATTTCAAATATTACAAGTTATAGATGAAATATCATCAAATTCTCTATCTGTCGACAAACTGAACTGGATTTTAGCTTTAGAATATAGGAACCCCACATTGGTTTCTTATTGGTAGATGATAGAAATGTTGATTCGAGGACCATATATGCCCAACCCAGCCGATTGAATATTAGACGGCGTTTTCCCTAATCTAAGCAGCCATGAAGAACACCCATGCAGTTAAGAAGGCTAAACGCGCTTTGCTTTTCAACAATTCAAGCAAATACTAAAAGCAAAGGGTAGACAAGTAATCCCAAGAAAATATTTTCTTATTTTAGTATCAGAAAGTGCACGTACTCAAACTCTTTCTCCTTCACCTTTCCTTTGTTTGTAAGGGATGAAAATTCTGATTCAACCTAATTCAATTATGGAAATATGCCACAAATTTATTGTCTGATGGGATGGACACTTAACCAATCGCATCCCTAAATTATCATTACACATGTAAAAATCAATTAAAAAATTTTGGAAACAAAAAGCGGGTGAAATAAAAAAAAAATTCCCATCAAGATACTGCAGCACTTGATAAGATCTCTTCATCTTCACCAAAATGATAGTGTTCATAGACTTCGAGTAACAGTTCCCTGCAAGGCACAACAGCCCCGAGCTTAATGCAGGCCAAGAAAGCACCTGAGAGTTTCCGATGAAGACTGTAAACCTCATCAGGGGGTGGTGTAAGCCTGTGCCTGAGCATTGTTGCCCCAAGGTTTGAAATGCTTTGAGTAATATTAGTGGAGCGGAAGTCATAGCCACCAGGCTTCGAGAATGGCAACCCCACAACAAAACCAGCTTGAACATGAGCTTCCAACATTACCTCTGATTCCATTCCTGTAAGGAACCCAAGTCTCTGTGACATCTCAATAACTGCCCCTCTGTCATTATTTGCGCAAGCCATGACCTGGTCAAACATATACAATGAGTCATTTGGTTCATATCATAGGACAATCAAATCTGAAGATGCCAAATTCAACAGTGTTCAATACACATTTGCAGCACAAGCTTGGACATCTCACAGCATTAATAAGATAAAAGCAAGGTCACTTTAAAAATCAAACTATATCAATAGAGGTTTATGATGGAAAAAATCTAAAAGAAAAAGTATTATAATCCATAAAAGGTCCAATAAATATAAATGGCTCGTCTTCAGGCTAAATGTTAACATAAAATTGCGCCATTCATGCATAAAAAACAATTGATGCCACAAGCACTTTGGAAGGGAACTGACCATTCTCAAGTAGTCATCAACAAAACGTTTGGGATAATCTCTAGCTGCTCCAAAGTCGATAAGATTGATTGTTTTGGTGGCCTCATTATATAAGAAATTACTCCAATTAGGGTCAGTCTGCACTAGAGCAAACACAATGTTTAAGACGAAAGAATATCACTTCTTCAATGAGACTTATAAAATGATATAACACAGTAAGTTTAAAATAATATGAAAAAGCAACCTCAGAGAAAGGGCAATAAACCTAGATCTGCAAAGTTTTCTAGAATGCAAAGTCAAGTTTCTTCTTGAATAGATTGCCTCAGGCTTGGATAAAATTTTGCTAAACACACAAACCAGAACATTTCATTATATTTAAGCGTAAGTCTAACCCTTAGATGGCAAAGCATAAATAACCTTTAGGAATTTAAATGATTTGTAAAAAACAGTAGGCAACAGAGAGAACACATAAAAAAAAAATTATCTAGAAAAAAGAAAAGAAATTAAAGAAAGCATACCTGCATGAAGCGGAACACAAAAAGCTCCATTAATGTTAGTTGCAGCAACTTTCTCCCAACATAATTACGAGTTCCCTGGTTTAGTAATGCAACCTTGTCAATTGGAACTCCTGTAGCAAGTAAATAATATTGTCAATTTGAACAAAATAAAGTTCATTAGATAATTCTATCAACCTTATCAATGGGAAACTGTTTAAGACTACTGAATCACATTTATGCACCTTGACCTATCAGAAATTCAAGTTAAAATATTTTCTTTTACACAGTTGAAAGAAATTGTCCTTGGAATATTAGAGAACATGACATCATATTAATCCAAATTCCAATCCTGATGCTTTAAGCAAAATAGAAACCTAGAAGACACAACATAGTTACCAGAAACAAGTTCTGTCGTTAAAACTCTTCTGCTTGAAATATCATCCACAACAAACGGAACATAAAATCCCTCTCGGCTGGACAGCAGATCACAAAATCGTTTCTGATTAGATGCCTCCAACTGATAGTCACATTCACGAGATAATTCTTCTTTAGCCACCTGCAAGAATTAATGGAAGAACATAAACATCCAATTCTTTAACACAGAATCTTCAGTTGTCAAGAGCCTCAGATGACATCCTCCATAACTTAATTTACATCCTCTAGCATCCAACTCATTTTGACAACGAAAAAATCAACCAGAACCAGCAAAAGTGGTGCGGGAAAGGGATCAAACAGTCATAAGAAAAGATACTCCAGTGATATGCTGGGAAGGGCCAAATAGCTTCGTAAACTATATCTATATGCGTCCATCATTAAACTGGCATTGGAAGGCTAACCATTTACTTCTCAAATAAGAATACTTAGAAAATGAATAATGCAAATTCATATATGCATAACTGCATACCTTCATTGCTCTGTTAAGATAAAGTCCTTTAGGAATTAGATTTGTATAATCTAATAGAAGTTTTACATTCTCGATGTCACTCTCAATGCTATCTGCCACACCAGGATATTGAATTTTCATTGCTACATCCATACCATCCTTTGTGACAGCTCGGTGAACCTACAGTTATATATATTAAAAAACTGTAAGTTTAGGCTAGATAACCATTAAAATGATAGAAAGGCATTGGAACCGGACAATAGTTGTTTCATTCAAGTCACCTCATTGAGCAAAATTTTCAATTCAAAATGATCAAAGAGAGCAGGCATATGGTAAAGAGAGAAAGAGTTAGCAAACAACCAAGCATGGTAAGTATTTTAAATGCTGGTTTTCATAAGATAAGAAAAGCAAAAATTAAGAACTGAATTTCATATATACAAAAGAGAAACCACTAGAAACTAGCATCAAACTGCCAGGGACGAGTTAAATGCACAAGGCAGTAAATGATCACATAAAACACCAGTAAACTAAAATGAAAGTTGAAAAGAAGACAAATACCAGAGCTTTACAGAATGATCCATTTCGACCATATAGCATCAATGCTAAAAATAAAAATGAGTAATTGACATCAACTGTTCACATCTAAATCAAAAGTTTGTATACATAACGATTCCTGGTAGCATGATCAATAAAATAAGCAAAACATACACAGAGAAATAATGATACCTTAAATGATTACAATTTAAAAATACTAAACATACAAGGAACATCCTAGTCAATTTGACAATGCAATAAGCATGCCACCATGTTGCTTCACCTGGCCTATACTTGCAGCAGCCAGGGGTTCATAATCAAAGCTAGTCAACTTTGAAGACCAACCAGGACCTAGCTCAGCATCCAAAACTTGATTGAGCTGGCTCCTTGGCATTACATCTGCACCTTGACGCACAATATCCAGAGCAGCCAAGATCTACAGAAAATGAAACAAGTCAAAAAAAAGATTGAGCCACTATGCAAAGTTTTATGGGCAGGTAATCTTAATAAAAATATATATATAAACCATAATCTCCTGATCATAAAACACCATCCAACGCATATAACTGAAAAACAAAAATCAGCATACCGGAGCGGGAACAAGGGATTCATCCTGTATGCTCAACATCTGCCCGAGTTTAAGAGCTGCGCCACGCATCCTACATAAAGCAAGGGCCAACCTTTCTGCATTTTTTTCAGACAAGAATGGTGAAACAGCAGATTGCTTGTCGTTTGAGTTTGGTGAACCATAAACAAGCCTCCTGGCAGATTCCTGAACTGTTCCCCAAGCAAGACCAGCTCCTAAAGTGGCAAAGCTTTTGATGTTATAAAAAGCACTAGTTAGCAAAATAGCAAAAAAAAGGACATAAAAAGATAATTTTGCAATAGCAATATAACTTAAACATTAAAAAAGAAATTACCCAAATGCTCTAGAAAATGGAGTAGCAGGAACTTTCCTTTCCCTTGGCCTCCGTCTCTTCACAGCAACTGGCGCCTCCACCGCCATTGGCGCCACTTCCCCGCCGTCAACATCGCTCTTGTTATCCAAATTGGACTCACATTCTCTCTCCAATCCATCATTAACAACCTTCTCTTCAAGAATCCGATGATCATTACTAATAACGGCTTTACCGCAACTGATTGTTTCGCCTATGGTAGGTCTCGCCCCTGCGACGTCGCTTGAGAAAGAATTTACATTGTCCTCGCCGCCGCCGTCATTGTTGCTGTTGAAGTAGACGACCGACTCTTTGGGCTTAGGCTTGGAAAATTCGCGGACTTTCCCTTTGGTTAGACCTGTCAAGTCGGTTACCGAAACTAGAGCCTTTTTGAGAGAAGAAGCTATTAGGGTTTCGAAATCGTCATTTTTGGCGTTCTCGATCGTTTGGGAGCGTTTGGCAATCTCTTTACCAATTAAGGAAAGACCATTCACGAGCCTCCCTAGCTGATTCAAAGAACTCATGGCGCGTTTAATTCAAAAGCATCGTCTACATCCTCCAAAAAGAATTTCTGCTTCCGATTTGTTTTCAAATTACAAGCCAGAAAAAAAAGCAAGTTTGAAGAAATCGTGGGGTTTGAATTGAATGGAAAAACGTTTCAGTCCTAAACCGAAGGTTCGAAAGGTTCGACCGTTTGAAGGCTATACGTGGGTTTTGTCGTGTCCAAGAAATTGAGAAGTGAGCAGGGTCTGAGACGTGGAGGGTAGGCTTGTAGCTATTTGTTCAGGCTTAAGGATTAGCCCAATGAGCCCAAATATGTTTATTTTCTCCCCTCCGGCCTTCCCCTAGTATTTATTCCCATTCTTGGGCTAATATTAGCCCAAGACCTGAAGAAATGGATGGAAAGCAATGTCTTGATTTTGAACTTTCCTGGTTTCAGGCCTTCTTTTGTTTTTTTTAACTTCAAATTTCATTTGGGGTTAATGGATGATGATGTGTATTATTGCTATTTTTCTTTTTTTGTTTTGATTGATTGGTGACAAGAATTGATTAAAGGATTCTTTGTATTTTTTTCCTAACTGAAGGCAACACCATGTAGGATACAATTAACAACTACCCGACTCTAATTCCATTATTCTTCCTTTTGTTGTTTTATTTTTGTTTTTTTTTCCCTCCCCGCAACCGCAATTGTGTAACGATTCATATCATAAAAAAAAAAAAGTAATTTATTTCCTTTTGTTGGTTGTCCTGAGGGTTGCTTTTTTGGTTCACCAGTAACCATTCACATGAAAAAACTGAGGATTTGAGAGAAAAAATCAACGTTTGCAAATATCTACATAAGATCTAGTGCATGTCCCGTCTCTTCTACAACAATGCAGGAATGTGTGTTGCAACCCACAAATATTCATGATATATATATATATATATATATTCTTTTCTCTTTGAATTTTTTTTCCCTTTCATAGTACCACTGCATTATGCCCTTATCTGCTGAGATATTACAAATCTTGGGACTGGGACCGGAAATGGGTTGGTTGAATAAAAGGCATTCCAAATAGTAGTTAAGTATATGCTTTGCTTTTGGTGACTCAAGTCAAGTGCCGTAGGAGACTTGAGTACAGCAGTGCTTTGACACACAAGTAAGAGTTGGTTTTGGTTTTGGTTTTGGTTTTAAGTCATAGTGCATAATTTTACATTTGTTGACCAATTCTTCCTTTTCCTGCGGCCGATACAAAGTTCCCAAGGGTCTCAAAATCTTAGGCTGGAGCCCGGTATCTACATTCTGTAATCGTGTTGTACTTGGTTCAGGACTGCAGTTGCCTCCTTCCATTGATGTTAGTATCGGAAAATTACTCATTTGGTTTAATCTCCTTTGTATTCATGCCAACAGGTAGATTCAGCTCACTTATCCATATTCTAGTTCAAGCAAATTAATATTGATTACAGCTCCACGTGAAGATCAGCACCCCATTTGCCATGGTTGAAATCAATGGAGGAGATAACAGACAAGCAACTACACAAGGACTAAACGATAGATAGGACAGTATATAATGTCATTTCCTCGTATAAAATTTTTTTTATCAACGGATATTTGCTGATATGCTTTTGTTCTATATACCTTTGAAAGGAATAATACTCATCAAAACTCCACTTACATGTAGCTAGCCCCTCGTCCATATTCTGTATTCTAAGATTCCAGACCAACTTGAAGCCATTCCTTTAGTCTTACAGGATTAAAATGAAACAGGTCCCCTTGTTCTCATTTTGCAAAAGGCAGTTAATGCAAATCATGTATCAATTCATTGTGTTTTTTTTTTTTTACAAAGATAAGAGGTGGCCAATATGCATTGGAACACACGGAATTTTATTTTATTTCTGGTCCAACATCGGAACATTTTGTATAGAAGGGTGGGGTGACAAATTTCTAATTAAAGCAGGAACAATCACTGAAAATGACAGGTAACAGTAAGCAGGATGACTTTAACAATTCAGAATCGTACATTTTCTTTTATTTGGTGAGTAGTTTATAACCAGACTTAAACAAAGAGAAAATATGCTCAGTTGCTCACCACCTCAGCCATTTCAGCATCAACCCCACACATCAATACATCATTCAAATGGAAGGGGCCATCCTTGAGTTTTAAATAGGCCCATCAGCCACGATTGGATGGAGCATCAGAACTGTTTCATTCATTCTACTGGTGTAGGTATTTGTTTTATGATGGCACTATGATTTTTTAAATGTTTTCTTGTAGATTGTTTTTCAAATGATTTTTTATATGTTTGAGACTGCTCTCTCGGATTATGTGGTTAATATTGATGGGATTGCCTTGCTTTCATCATAATCTTAGTGGAATTTGCTGAATATGCTGTCATTTTGAAAACGAAGACCCAAGGTTATCTTGTCTATATATTATTAAGCTGAAGCTCGTAGCCTGGCCTCTTCCATAGCTCTTCTTGATGGGTTTATTATGTCTCTCTCAGATTCTTTTTACCTCGTTATATCACTTTGGTTCATTGAATACAGTGTCTTCCATCTGCTTAAAATTTAGGAAATAAATAAAACTTTACTGCAAATGTGCATATAACTGCAGGGTGTCTAATGGAACTTTCTTACAGGTTCATTCATGAAGATGGAGGCTGTTGGGAGGGCCACTGGAGCTAAATATGAATGCTTGCTCTTCGGTATGTTATAGCACGATTATTCTCTTCATCAAGAACAAAACCATGTGATATAGCTGCTTTTGCTCGATCATCCTCCGGTGTAAGGCTTTTAGAACTATTTCTGATTTTTGGGGTTTCAATTATGATTTACAGACATGGATGATACTCTATACCCCTTGAGTACAGGTTTCAACTTGGCTTGCCGCAAGAATATTGAAGGTATGACCCCAAATGGTAAACATGATTTTTTTTTCTTTGTTATAATTACGATATGAGCAATTTGACTTGCTTTAATTGCAGAATTCATGCTGCAATACCTTAATATTGAAGAAAGTGAAGTACCAAGAATGTGCTTGGAATTATACAGGGAATATGGAACAACAATGGCTGGTTTAAAGGTGAATGAGAGTTTATCTTGTCATAAATTCTCTGCTTCAGTTAGTTCTTTTGTTTTTTTAGCTCTTTTTTTCTTCCTTCTCTAACATAGATGCAATGCATTCACTGTTCGTGCATCTGAAATTTTGAGTCATAAATGCCAATTTTTCAGGCTCTTGGTTATGAATTTGACAACGATGAGTTTCATGCGTATGTTCACGGAAGACTGCCATACGAAATACTGAGGCCTGATCCGGTATTAAGAAACCTTTTGCTTTCCATGCCACAGCGAAAAATGGTAAGTGAAAAACTGAATTCCTTCTAGCTAATCGAGAAAAAGAAAGTTCACTGAAAAAGCATACCATATCTTGGGCTATTCTAAGATTTTTTTGATGTTTTCAGATCTTCACTAATGCAGATAAGGCACATGCACGACAAGTTCTGAAAAGTTTGGGCTTGGAAGATTGTTTTGAAGGCATCATATGCTTTGAAACTCTTAACCCTCCTCTTAAGCCAGCTGATTTTATGGATGCATTAGATGATAATCAAGTTCTTGCAGGAGGTGACGAAAAGCCCAACACTGTTGACAGAACCGATGCCAGCAGCGTCAGTTCCAAGTCACCAATTCTCTGTAAACCCTCACTGGAAGCTTTTGAAGCTGCTATTGGGATTGCGAATGTCAATCCAAAGAAAACAGTACTGACTCAATCCTTCCTGATTTTGAACACAATTTTTCCTTTACCCCCTAATTTGAACACAATTTTTTCCTTTACCCCTTATTCATGGGTTACCCTTCTTTCTTTCTTTTTCTTTTTCCAGATTTTCTTTGATGATAGTGCTCGAAACATTGCTAATGGAAAAGCGGCAGGGCTTCACACAGTTATAGTAAGCTATGATTTCGTTTTCAATCGCAACACCTAGAAACCTGCCTAAGCATAAGCATAAATCATTGGTAATCTTTGCTACCATTAGTACATGGTTCAGCATTCTATACCTAACATGCGCAAATAATGATGACAGGTGGGGAGTTCGGTACTAGTGCCCGGTGCAGATTATGCCTTGCATAGCATCCACAATATCAGAGAAGCGATGCCTGAGATATGGGACGGTGAAGAGGAGCAGATTGAGCAAGGTATCCAATCTGCTGCAGTTGAAGCCGTGGTCCATGCATAGATTTCAGTTCAAGTTGAAAATTTTCGAAGGGAGGCTTTCCTTGTTGTATTATGTACAGGGGAAGCATTCATCTTAAGCTTATTAAATAAATGGCTAAAGCTCGCCAATATCCACATGTACTTGGAATATAAGAAATGGTTATTTATCTTTATATTCATGTACAAAACACAAATTTATGGGGATAAAAGCCAATTGGAAGGAAACTTATCAAAATTAATAAAATCAGATGCTTCATTAGGAGTAGAGTTTTGATGGAATCAGCAAGCTTGTCCGCACTAAAAATGATAAGCAAAATAGCACACCCCTGCCAAGAGATTACAGAGTATTATCCAAAATTCTCTCAGCTATAATGAATGCTGATTGTTATATATGACTATCACGTAAAATCATCTTGCAGAAGAAAAGCAATACTAAAATGTGCATTTCATGCTTGTGGTTACACGAACAGGATATTAGCCTTCTATTGGTAGCTCCCCACAATTAACAATTCTGCATGGCACCCGAGGGCTATCTGACCTGCTTGTCTCTTGGGATTCTAGTTCACGCACAACATCCATTCCATCAATCACATGTCCAAAAACAACATGCCTATTGTCCAGCCATGGAGTCTGTAAAACACAAACACAAACACAAAGGAAAAAAAAAAAAAACCAAAAAATAACCAACTTAAGCTAAGAAATTTTTGTCTATGTGAATATTTAAGCTTTGCAAGTGATTAGGTAGCATGATTAATTAGCTAAAAATATCAACGGCACCCGTCAACATTCAGCCATAACTAGATTATGCACAAGTACAATAGGTATTCAATTCAAAGTGTATAATTAGTAAGATATAATTCCAATCACAAAGCAAAATCTACTATTCTATTAAGCATTTATATTTTTTCGTTCTCAAAGACTATCATAAAAACACAACTTCCAATAAGTATATTGGTGCAATTATACTATAATGATATCAAATTGGAATAGGGCAATGAGATACATAATCTACAAAAATGAATAAGGTTGCAGGAGCTAGCAAACCTTGACTGTGCAAATGAAGAATTGACTACCGTTGGTATTAGGACCAGCATTGGCCATGCTTAATACTCCTGGTCCAACATGCTTCACTGCAGATAAACCTCAAAATATCACAACCTCGATAGCAATTCATTACAGATATCAACCTAACCTAACAATCTTGAATAAAACTCCCAAATTTTGAATTCTTTATTTGAGCAAAACTTACAGGCAAAGCTCTCATCTTCGAACTTGGATCCATAAATACTGACTCCACCAGTTCCCTGCAGCCAGCAAATACACCAGTTTTCTACTTAGCAATGGAAAGTTATTTCTTAAAAAATTACTAATATATCTTTAGAAAGCTGGAGGAGAATGAAAGAAAGAGAGGGTTTACATTTCCCTTAGTAAAATCACCACCCTGGATCATGAAATCTTTAATAATACGGTGGAACGAGCATCCTTTGTAACCATAGCCTTTCTCTCCTGCAACAAAAATATATACAAAATATCAGGAAACACCAGAATAAAAGTGCTTTCAAGAAGTGAATATAGAAGCCTAAGCCTTGCCTGTGCATAGGGCACGGAAGTTCTCAACAGTTCTTGGAACAACATCCCCAAAAAGGCCCATCACAATTCTACCCACAGGTTCACCTCCAATTTCAACGTCAAAGAAGACCTTGGTTGTAACTTTTGCTTGCAACTCTACATCCTAAAAAAAATTCCAAAAATGTGTAAGATTCTAGACGGTAAACACTAAACCAAATATCAACCAACAGACATCAAATTATATATTTTCAGATGTATTACTTATCCATTCTACAGAAACTAATAAAGAAATACTTACATTTACCATGGAGTTGCACACCATTCTCCGGTATTTAAAGTTAGGAGATTTAGGAAGTTGGGTAACAGGGAAACTTGATGCATAGCTTAATTTTGATGCTAAGGCTTTTCCAGGTGAGCTAAAAGTTCGAATTTGGGAGTAACCTGACCGTGAATTTACCATATGTGGCCTATGAACATTTGAAACATCTTGACCCTGTAGGAATGAAAGATAAGTCAAAAGAAAATGAGGGAAGGTTTTGAAGCAATTAAAATCTTCCAACAAAACTGACCTGGAAAGTGAGACAAGGGCTAGGGACCATCTGCAATGAGAAGCAAGAGGCCATTTTGGTGGTTGAATGGTGGAAAAAGTCCTCCGTTATTGGGGCGTTAAGTGAGAACAGGAAAGGAAAGTTTATTTAGATAAGACTCACCCCTTCGAGTTGCAGAAACCAGGATCAAAAAAGAGGGAAATAAATGTACAGGCTCGTAGTTGGGTTGGCTTTGTTGTGGTTAACGCGCGGCTCGATTTGCGCATCGTTTTCACCGGCGTGATCTTCAAAATATCCGCCTCACGGCCCACACCCAACTTTCTTTTTTCTTTGTTTGGGCCAAGCTTGGGCCATTAAACCCTTACCTAAACGAGCCTCAATGTTAGAGACATAAGGGCCCCTCGATAAGACTTCATCATCAAGTGATGGTTACCAATCGTAGTATTTCGGGAATCGATAATAGAGTTGGCAGTTTAACCTGTCTCTTTCGATTCAATTTGATTTTACAGAGTAAATTTTTTTTTAAATTAAATTTTTAGTCAAATCAAATTAAATAATATTAAAAAATAATTTGAAATCAAAATTTAGATAAATTCGATTTGATCTTATTTGATATATATATATAATTTATTTTTAATTAATTATTTAATTTTTTATTTATATATTTATTTAATTTTTTACTTATATTAAAAATATTATTTTATATTTAAAAATAATATTTTATTAATTTTAAATTGAATATAATTTATATAATATCAGATCAAATTAAATTTAAGTATAAAATAAAAAATTTATTGAATTGAATTAAATTTAAATTTTATAAATATAAAATTAAATCAAATTCAAAACAAATAAATATTCATCTCGATCCGATCCGTTATCATTCTTGATCAATAACTTTAATTCTCATCGTGCTATAATTAATAACTTGTCCTTATTGTTCGTTTTTCATGCTTTAATAATTTAACAAGCTGGTCATGTGTTGGAATTTTTATTTTGTAAGACTGATAAGTTTTCTTTAGTAAATTATAATTTATAATAATAACAATTAAATAATATTATAATTTCATAAAAAAATCAATAAAATATAAATAAAATGAATTGACTAATTAACATATGACTTATAAAATTAAAGATAAGCTTGAGCAAGCTTTATTATAAATTATAAGAATTATTGTTAAGTTAATTGGATATTAATTCAGATGTCATGCATGCTAATTAGACTCTAATAATAACAATTAAATATTATTTTATTTAATATAAAAAACAGTTAAATATAGACAAATTAACCAACAAAATAATATATAATTAATAAAATTAAAGATAAATTTGAATAAATTTTATTATACATTATAAAATTTAATCCTTAGAGGTCAAGTTAACTTAATATTAGTTAAGATATTATGCATCCCTTTAAGAGAAATTAGAGGCATAACATCCTCTTCGTATAAATTAAATAGATAAGAAGTTAGAGATTTAAGGGTAGAATAATAATTAAAAAAAAAATTAAGGTATCAAATTTACAAAGCTTCTTCATTTGTTGGATTCTTTAAACACCATTGCACTCAAAGAATGTGAAACTCTCCATAGACTCCATTTTCAGAACCAATAAATTAACAATGAAAAAAGAAATATATTATTTGTAATAAGCAATAGGCGATTATAGAATCACAGCAATAATAATATTGATATAAATATAGTGATGATGATGAATGAAGCCCATCTGTAAATTAAAATCCCCATCTTTACACAAGCATAGTTTGATGTAAAAAATCAGATGAAGATCCAGCATGATTCTGTTTGACTGTTTCGTTAGCCATTAAAAAAAAAAAACTATAGCATTGATCTCAAAATATTTAAATTTCAAAATCAACAAAGATTAAATATTCAAGACAAAGACATATCTTAAATGATATACAATTAAAAAAAGGAAGGCTGGATCTATGGTCAGAGAAACCATGCTTCTGAATTACTCCAAAGATCCAGACTTCATCAACAAAGGTAGAACTTCGAAGTAATGTCGGCCATAAATTTGGTTGAAGTTTAGCATATATTATTTATAGTTAAATTTTCGGTTCAGATTTATTAGGATTGAGAGTTGAACATACATTCAGGGCAACCAGTCAGCCAAGAATGTCACTCTACAACGACGGAGGAGCAACCATCACTCAAGGTGCATAAATGCTTTAATTTCCTTCTTCTGAATCTGATAACCCTTTTTTTTTTCTTTTACTCTTTTTTGTTTCAAAGTTTTTACTTGTGTTCAAAGTCGTATACCAGATCATGCAACTGTAAAATGATCTTTAGACTAGTTTTAAAGTGAAATCTTGAGGTCTGGGGGAGATTGAAATTGAAATTGATATTGATTTGGACATTGGAAAGAGTTTTAAGATTAGGAATTCTTCTGGCTAACATAAGGCTGGAGAGATTGATGGGTTGATTCTCAAATCAAGCAAAGGAGGCAGGGTAGAGTTTAGCAGGGAGCAGGACTGCAGGAGCATGGATCGTTTCAATGCCGTGTCCTTCCGGCCTGCTTCCCTGCATTACTCCATGAGCCTTTATCCCAACTTGAACAGGGAGAAATGACGGAATACAAAGTCAGATTCATCATCTATGACTCGCGTCACTTTATAATTCAATACAACTAAAAAATTACTCAGTAAAAAATATCAAATCAAACTTTTAAAACATTATCAATGTATTATCAATTTTAGCTAAGATGTTGCACCGTAGGAGGCCCTAGTGGCCTAGTCCCATAAATGAAACCGTTTGTCCTCATGTCATACTGGGCCATTGGTTTCAAACCACTATTCATCCCACCTGTAACAATAACAGTAAAGTAGGTAACAAATTAAAAGCGCAGTGTTTTGATTTTGTTCGATATATGTTTGAGGCCAAAACCAGTTGTAGAAGCTATAATCTATTCTAGGTCGGCTTTCAGATATGTCTCTCACCGGCGAAGAAGATTTAACCTCCCAAGGTACTATCTGGTTGTTTTTTCTTTTCAGTGCTTTGCTTCTACTGATAATAATTTATACATATATACATATATATATCAACATATAATGTATGATCTTGATCAAGGTTTTAAATTAAACAAGTAAGTTCTCTGGAATTAGGTGAGAGATATGTGGGGTGAGTATTTAACTAATCCTCTGCTTCAACTACATTTAGGTTACAGGCTTTGGTTTTTTTTTCATGTTTCATTTCTAATCATGGAACTATATTTCTTTCTCTGTTCTGAATTTTTAGTGTGAATCTAACAGATATTTTATCAAAGTTTAACAACTTTACCATTATTCCATATATATTATTTTACGTCGATCTTAAAAAAAAAAAAACTAAATTAAACTCCAACGATTTAGATCATCTTTTAGGAGATACTAAAAAAATTTTAAAAAATTGTATTATTATTAAAATTTGCCAACTCATCATTTAAGAATATTTATAAAAAATTAATAAAATTATTATAAAAATATTTATTTTTTATTTTTTGGAAAAAAAAAAACTACCCTCGTGGAAAAATTTTTCACCAATTTTTTTATTGACCCACATGGAAATTCCAAAAAGCAAACTGTTCAATACTTTTCTATTTACATATAAAGTGTTTGATGGAGTCGGTATCACGAGTTAAATAAAACCAATTACATTAAAGAATTTATACTATTATATATAAAATGTCCGACGAAAGTGACACTTCAATGCAGATAAAAAATTTACTTAAAAATCAATAAAAAATTAAGGGTACTTGTCTAGGAAGAGGCTGACTCATATTTTCAAGCCCAAAGTAAAAAAGGGTCTGAATTATGGCCTAAGGGCAGCTTGAGATGTAAAACTGGAAGCCCAAGTGGACTACAATCATTGGGCCGCGAGTTTCATTTTTTTTTTTCTCTCTCGAATCGCTGCTGCTCTTAAAAGGAAGAGGCTAAGCGATCCTCCGGACATAGTCTAGCACTGAAAAATGTGGGGCTCTGGCCTTTCAGTTAATCTACTCAGAATATGTGCGCCTATCCAATTCCACTCTCACAAACTGCCGTTTCCACCATCGCACTCGCGCCTTTACCCACCACCACCCGGTTTCTTCTCAACCCACCAATCTCCAACAAAATCACCACCCCAATTTTCCACTCAACTCCCTCTCCCAGGTTTCTCTTCTCCAAGTTCAGGCCCAGCCCTTTTTGTTCCAACTCTGATGCCACCTCATCGGACACAACTGAAGATGATGATAATGTTTATTTTGACGACGAAGATGATGATGGTTTTGTTTTGTCAGACGTGCAGACACAATCGTTGTCTGAAGATGGTATATTCATCGAGATAAAAAAGCCTGGAGGGAACTCTCGTAGAATTCGGTCCAGAATTGGGATTGAAGCCAGCCTCGATACTGTTTGGAACATTTTGACTGACTATGAGAGGTTGGCTGACATTATTCCGGGTCTTGCTGTCAGCGAAGTTGTCGAAAAGAAAGACAAGTTTGCTCGACTTTATCAGGTAAATTATTTATCTCCCGTTTGCTTAAATTTGTGTTATTTCGTTTGGAGTTTGATCTAAATTTAGTTACATGTGAACTTTGACATGTTGTACTTATTTTCAATTAAAACTTCTAAGTAAGACAGCAGCAAATACAATATTTTTAGAATAAAAAGAAAGGGTTTTCTGGGAGTCTTTATATATGGGTAAGAATTTTAGTGCATATTTAAGGTTTACATGTGAGTTCAAGGAAAAAAAATGGAATTTTGAGTTACTACTGATTTAAGCAACGAGATAAAGGTAGAATGTAAGTAGAGGGACTGAGAAGCACTATTGTTCTTCTTTCGAAATTAATTTAAATCTTTGATTGTGTAGGGTAGCAGTGGCCAGTGAATCCATTTTCTTGACTCCGTTAGAGTTGAGGGCTCTCGTATGCGTGCGTATAAAAATGTTGTCTATTGATGATATATGTCCCTCAACCTCAATTTGCTAACCGTGTTCTTTATATATAATTGCCTGAGGTTTTGTGCATCACTTAATTGAAAACTTTTGTCTGCTGACTGATTCTTTTCTCTAAGTTTAGTCCTTGCCTTCTGTCATTGATGTAATCGTTCTGTTACATTCTTCCAACAGATTGGACAGCAAAAGCTGCCATTGGGTTTGAAATTTAGTGCCAAAGGAGTTATAGATTGTTATGAGAAAGACCTTGAGATTTTGCCTCGAGGGAAAAAGCGTGAAATTCAATTTAAGATGGTTGAAGGTGACTTCACACGTTTTGAAGGATCATGGTTGATCGAACAGGTAAATAATTAATTGATGTTAAGTTGTTGAGCACCTTTAAGTTTAAGTTATTCAGTCTATTAGTTATCTCTGTCTGAATTTTGGCTGCAACCTTCATACTAATCATTTTTACAAATCGTATAGCTGCTTCTAGAGTAATTGTGGTAAAGAATGAATTAACTGCAAACTATGACTTAAGGCATAAGATTGAAGTAGGAGAGACCATACTTTTGTAACCTGGCTGATTGAAAATTTCCAGCCAGTCAAATCTTGCCCTTTAGTCTTTGTTTCAGGGAAGAATAAAATCACGTCTCTCCATTAAAGTTTATCATGAGCTTTTGGCTAGGAGATATGCTATAAAAGGTAATGAGGATTGCAAGGAAAAACTGGGAAAAAAAAACCCATTTCAGCCCAAATGGTTATTTGTTAGTTGGCTTGAATCAACCGAAGGGATGCTCTCATTTCCTGCTAAAAGGAGACAAGAATTTAATCCATACTCTGCCCTCAGAATATTCAAGCCTTTAAGAAACCAGCGTTCTTGTCTTTTTATTCCTTGGCTCTCACTATAAATTTGTTGCGATCTGCTGCAAATGACTAAACTATATTATAAAATGAATTTGCATTGGTTTGATCGCTGTTAGCACTTGTTTATCTTATTACAAATACAATTCACTTTCATTTTTTACTTTTACAATTTCTATTCTATCCCATCTTATATTGATGATGCTTGTTTATTCTGAGTTTTGAGTGGTTTTGACCACAATTGTTTTCAGAGCATGTTGCACTTTAGTTTGTATCTTTCAAATTTTATGGTATAGCAGGTCTTGTTGTGCTAAAGAAATACTTGTTTGGAAACTTGAGGCTTGGCTTGAGAAGTGTAACCTTGAATGATTCTTGCAAGCTTACTTGTTGGCATCTTCACAAATTTTTTGTTCTTTCAAAGGTCGTGACTTTTATTTCTTGATCAAATATTTTGCTCATGAGCTGAATTAATATGTTCTTGTCACCTTCAGCAAAAGTAATGGTTTGAACAAGTTAAAGCCATTGTACTGACGTTAAAAGCTGAGTATAAGATTAAAATTCAGTATGGGACTACTAGGTGATGTGGCCGTTGATTACAATATAAGGTTCATAATCCAAAAACTAATACTTTTTTTTTTATGATGGGTTGTGCAGTTTAATAAAGGAAAATGCCAAGGTGATGAAGCATTTGTTGGTCAAGAATTCCAGACAACCCTTTCGTATTTATTAGATGTAAAGCCGAAGATGTGGTTGCCTGTTCGCCTTGTTGAGGGCAGGCTTTCTAGCGAGATAAAGACGAACCTTTCTTGTATTCGTGAAGAAGCAAAGAGAGTGATAAGTGCTTTGAGCTCTCTTTAACATTACTTGCTCGGACAGATTACTCTGCATGCACGCTACTAAACTATAATCTATTGAAGATCAAGTTTCATAATGGAAGAATGATTGACCCCAACCCTTTTTCACCTATGGCATACTCATGCTTTACAGGTTTAAAAAAACTTGTCCGATAAAGTGCCGAGGAAAAAGGAAAGAATCGAGTATGATGGACACTCTGGTGAAAGGATGTAAATTATTTTCGAATTTTTTTATATTATTAATTTTAGTAAAAATCTAATGATGTTACATGTCTTTTTCATGGGTTAAAATTAAAAATGATGATGACAATGCTGTTGTTGAGCAGAGGAGGCACGTTGGGTTAGTTCCTGTGACAGCGCTTACAGGCTAGAGGGATATGTTCGAAGTAAAGGGGGAAGAAATGAAATTCTAGGGACACATCAAAAGTGACTCTAGGGCCAAAACTTTACAAAAAGGTGTTCTCACGAAGTCCAATACTGTGGGGTTCCGCAATCTGTGGTGATTGAACTGTCAGAACCCAAGACCACCGTTGAAAAAAAGATGGGATAAATAAAATACCTTTGCGGTTTTGCAACAGATGTATTTGTGTATATAAATACCGTAGGATTGGCATGAAGGGTAATAAATTGGATGTTGAACTTAGAAAAAAGGACACGAAACAACTTGGGTTTGTGGGTCCAACATGTTTGACCATTTTTACATGCAGGTAATTCGAGCAACAGGCACTTTTCTTTTTGCCCGTTTACCAAACTTTTACAGTTTTTTGGCAGACTTGTCAAATTAAAATATAATACAATATTATAATATGAATTAAAATTTTAATAAAATTTATATATAATTTTAATAAAACTCAAAAATTATATTTCGTATTTTTTATATTAATATAAATTATAATATATAATTTGTATATAAAATATAATATAAATATAAAAATTATTAATATTTTATATTATATATAAACACGAATTATTATATCTATTTGATCATCGTCGTCCTTATCTCTGTACTATTACCGCATTGACATCCTGGGGGGGCAATGGGGCAAAGCTAATAGCATTAGTAAGACCCTGGAATTTTGGATTATTAGTAAATTGTTGGTTTTCATTTCCAATCAAATTTATTTGTTGCTCTTAAGATTGCCCCATCCAATAAGCAACAAAAAGAGAGTTGCAATTGATTGATTAATTTTTCGTCTAGAATATAAGAATATAAATGAAAATTTGAAATGAAAAAAATTTTAATTTTTTAGTGAAAGTGCTGATTTGCATAATTTAACCAAAGAGATTTTACGATGGAACTCACCAAAATTTTGTTACTTTCCTTCTTTTAAACTTCGTGTTTGATTTCCAATTACTTTGATTAATTTTATTAAGACAAAACAATAAGAACGATAAGGAAGATGGTTTACCTGATGAATAAGAAAAAACTATTGGGTGATTGCGTATAATATACCTTTGTTCCAATTCAAGACAAACACAAATTCACCCCCGCAAATGTAGGAGCATGTCAAGAGACAGAGTGAAAGTGACAGTTAGTTTAACATAACCCTGACCTGGCTAACTTCAATCAGCTTGATTTGAGGTATTGCTATTGCTAGCAGGTCGAACACCATCTTCTCCTACATAAAAACGGTTTTTTTTTTTTTTTGTATAATTAAAATTAAACTAATAAATTAGTAAAACATTGATTCTACATTGTTTTAGTCGTAATTGATATGATGTAAAACTAACTAAATTCTTTTTGTCTTTTCCACGTAAGGGATCAAAGTCGATGATCGAAGTAGCACGTTTAGTGGTGAAAAACCAAAACAAAGTTGCATCTCTTTTGTTTTGAATTCAATGCTTCTTTAAAAGCCATCCAAAGTGAATGTGTCAGATAATATTTGACAAATAGATTAGGGTGTGATACTGCAGGGGATTTTGAAAATCTTAAGCGTATATATTGAAATGTTAAGATTAAGGCCGTCACCCCCTTGTGCACTCCAAGCTGGCCAATTTGCCAATTTGTAAAAGAATCTAAAATGGTAAATACAAAAGATAATGTTAAATGATCCGTTGGAAACAAATTATAGTTCGAACAAATAAAATATTTTTTAAGTTACATGAATATCGAATTCAACATTTAATTAAATTGATTTATCTAATCACTTTAAAAATATATATATATATCTCCAATAAATATGTGATTTTCTTTAAAAAAAAAAAAAAAGCCAACGAAAAGAGAAAATTTGATAAAATTAGATATGATTGAGAATTAGGCCCACATAAAAATAGCTAATACTAGCAAAAGCTCACCCCAGACTAGAGTACTTGCAAGAAACAAAACTGAACTGAAGCCAACCAAACCAATGGTGTCTTGTTATTGGCAAAAAAACAATATAATATAATCATATGCTGGATCCTGTTTGCTTCAACACACTTTTTATAATTGGCACTTTCCAACGTTGCTTTACTCTCTCTTTCAATGTTGTTTTTTTTTTTTTTTTTTTTTAACTAGAGCAGAAACATTCACAGTTTCTTCTCCACTGACAAACTTACAGTGATAAGAAATGAGGTTTTTTTTTTTAACCAAGTGAAATTAATCATTCAACCAGCTGGGTTGATTACTCCTTTTCTGTTGAGCAAATATGCTTCTGACTAATGATCATTTGATGGAAATCATCATTCTTCCTGGCTATCTTTTGAATCTTTGATTGTGAAGCTTTTATGAGATAGAGACTCCTTGGGCAGAGCAAATCCACTATGAAATTAAAACCCAGAAAATGGAAAAAGAAAATAAAATAATGTTTTTATTTTTATAACATGATCCCAACCTAATCATCATGATCCATAGCCACATAATTGTCAAAACCTATGACATTTTGGCAAGTAATAATCAACTAACACAAAACCATAAGTGGATTTGGAAATAGAAACCCAAAAAAAAAAAAGGGTTTTATTAATTTGTTTACTTTTTAAGAGAATTTAATTTTTTTTAATCCCCACTTTGATGTAATTCACGTCAGAATCTGATCTCAACTCATCTCCTTACTGCCAATTCTTTCTCTTTTTTTTTTTTCTTTCTAAAGTACATGAATCAATTGGAGAATGGCTTGGAAGGATGTGGGAACCAAATTAGACTTTATGGGTTTTTTTTTTATTTTTTATTTTGAAATTCAAGTACTTATATTTCTTAATGGGCATTTCTGACTTATGATTTTGTTTTCACATGGAGGATTTAATTAATGGGCTTAGCTTAGACTTTGGTTTGGAGATATACCCACTTGAACCATTTATTTTAATGCAAGTAAGTGTCATTATTCTATTTAACATTTTATTACAGTAATATTTTAAATTTTAATTTACTCAAATCATGGACAAAAGGAAATGATGCCAATAAAATTTAATTAATTTATTGGTGTTGAAAAGTGGACAACAACTTGAGGAAGCAGGGTTTGGTCATAATATTCTAGTGGATTTAGTTTAGTTAGTCAACAATGCAAGGATACAAAGATCATGGATTTGCCATCCTTCGTGCAAGTTAGGCGTGGCAATATATATATATATTCCTTCCAACTCATTTTGTTTGTTCATTATTTTAAATGTCCCAATTTTATTTTTTATCATTAAAAATAATGAAAATTTAAATTTATAAAAAATTAAAATTAATATTATATATGCGAAAGTCAAAACTTTAAAATTTAATAAAAATTTAACCTTATGAAACGAAAGAAATATCTATGTATATATCCGAGTTCAACTCAATATAGAAATATATAGGTAAATTTTACCACTTGGGTTTTGTTTTATTTTTTCTAATTTTTAATTACGTTTCAATTTAACATGTCTATTTCGCATATCTTTTCGGAATCATTGACATGAAAAATGAGACATTGAAAACCAAAATAAAACATGTCATGTCAACTTTGGTTTCCCCATTTTAAATCATTCTTTATTTTAATGATATGCAGTGAAAAAAAAAAAAAAAAGACCTGGACTTTTTTTTACTACTCCGTCTTGTAAATTCTAACTATGTTTTGAATTTTGATTGATATTTTGTTAAAGGCTTATATCCGATATATTATTTGTATATAAAATTTATATATTATTAATAAATGAGATAATATTATTTTATTAATAAATAAAATTTTCAAATAATATTAATTTTTTATATATTTATTTATTAATAAAATATTCTCATTTAATTTACTAATTATATATAAAATTTATACATTAATAATATATAAAATTTATATATTAAAAATACATTAAATATAAATTTTTTATTAAATATATTCGCTTTTGATGCAAAACTTTTATTGGTTGGTTTGTATCTCTTCCCTTCAACCTTTTACCTTTTTGTACCTTTCTTAAATTTATTATTAAAATTAGAGTTATTTTTTATACACAATTGATAAATTTTTAAATTTCATAAATAAAATAAAATAAAAGAAAAATATAATTTTTTATTCTTTTAATAAATCGTAAAAAGATGTAAAAATTAATAGGCATTCAAGCAACATTATCCTGTAATTTTTTCCTCCAAACATTTTTATTTATTTATCTTTTCTCTCTTTCTCGATGAGAAATGCCCTTTAAACATTTATTATGAACCTAGATTTAAAAAATTTTATTTAATGCATTAATAATAAATTTTTTTAATTTTATAAATACGATTAAGATTATAACACATCTTTTTTTTAAAATTAATTTTGTTATTTTTAAATATACATTAAAAAATATGTATTATTATTTTAATTTATTTATAAAATTAAAAAATTTATTATTAATATATTTTATAATTTCTTATTTTTTATTATATTCTCTCCTCTTTTTCATTTTTTAATTATCCTTTTTGGCTGCCATTTTTATTGATTACTGGCAGCTCCTCCTAAGAATGTCCCATGAAACTATTCTTAGTCAAACTATAAACATATCTTATTTTATTTTATTTTTTGCATTTTTCATTTGACAAGGAGCTACTGATAATGACAATCTTATCCAAAAACACGTATCCATCACCCATTGCATGTAAATAAAGTCAATCGTTTATTTACTACTGTGTTCAGGTGGTAAGTTCTAGCTATTTCGTTTAGTAAAAAAATAAATTTACAGTTTAATTAACCTTGTATGTGATTTTGACTTTTGTAAGTTCAAAAAAAAAAACCAAGGATGAGAAATGCAAGTCTGAAGATCATTAAATGCAGATTACATAATAATATAATAAAATAAATTGCAATTTGGCATTTGACTTTCATAAAGAAATCATTAATTGAAGAAGCAAATTTAAGGATTTGAACAAAAATTTAAAAAGGAGGGATACATATTGTCGTCCAAAATGTTAAAAAAAAAAATTCAAACTACCAAAAAAAGGATGAATGGCTATTAGTAAGACCACTTCTTTTATTCAATGAAGGATTAATTAAGGAAAAAAATAAAATTGAAATTATTATATAATATAAAATTGAGATTGAAGTATAAAAGGCTTTGTCATGATCTCTTACCAAATCTTCTCTTTGATTACAATCTTTTATGACCATCACATTATAATTTTAATTAAATTAAAAAATAGAAAAGAAATTAGACCAATTTTATTTAATTTTTGGAAGGGTATTCAAAATTAGGAGGGATGACCCCACTTTGCCCTCCACCCATCCAATTTTATTGATGAGCATGATGATGTGTGTTGCCAATTTATTGACTCCAACAGCACCGCCAATCATTTGCAAGAA